TCAGACTGTAGGCCTGTTAAATTTGTGGAAGAAAAAGGAGTTAATGGATACATTTCGAATTGTTTCCTCCGATACAACCTACAAACCACCATCAAGAAGTACGGTAGCCTACTTTCAAAAATAAATTAGTTGTATTACACCGAGAAAAAAAAATACAACCTCAAATAAATACCGTAAATACAACCTCAAGATGGCGCTGTGGACGGTTGCCTCAGTGTGGAGCTCTCAAGTTGTTTTACTGTTTTTGTTAGTTTGTCCTGTTTTTTGTTTCTCAAATACAATCAGTTTTACCACAGATGAACTGCTGGACATTCGGCAGAACACACCAAACAATCTATTACCGGTTTTTGATTACTCAGATTTTTTAATGGGCTTTGTAGCTGGCGGAACTGACGCTGTTCAAGCACTTTAAAAGGATAGTTCACCCAAAAAAGACAATTCTGTCTTTAATTACTCACCCTCATGTCCTTCCAAACCCGTAAGACCTTCGTTCATCTTTGGAACACAAATTAAGATATTTTTGATGAAATCTGAGAGCTCTCTGACCCTCAGCAAGGGTCCTACCACAGTCAAGGCACAGAAACGTAGTAAGGACATCATTAAAACAGTCTATGTGACATCAGTGGTTCAACCGTAATTTGACAAAGCTACGAGAATACTTTTTGTGTGCAAAGAAAACAAAAATAACAACTTTATTCAACAATTCTTCTCCTCTGTGTCACCCTAGGTGCATACACGTGCTTACCTCTGCTCGTAAACAAGGCGCATGCGTGTGGTGTTGCTGACGTAGAACACGCATGCGTCGTGGTACTCTCGAAAATGGCACCTAGGGTGACACAAAGGAGAAGAATTGTGTTTCCCGAAGATGAACGAAGGTCTTACGGGTTTGGAATGACATGAGGGTGAGTAATTAAAGACAAAAATTTATTTTTTGGGTGAACTATCCCTTTAAGACACGCGAGCATGGGAAGTCAAACTATGACAAGTCAAAGTATTTATATATGCCTGGTCGGCGTCTGATTGCACACTGACCCGTAAAGTGTGCGATTTGACAGCAAAATGCATGTCTTCAACATGTGGTTTGCCAAAAAAAACGCACGTTCTTAACGGGGTTCTTGGGGTCACGGAAAACACTGAGTGTCCAAAGTTTGAAGTGTCCAAACAGGTGGGAAAAAAACGTGCTATTTCCTTAGTGTTCTCAGAATTGCACGTCCAAAGCGTGTGCTCCCTTTTTAGGGCTTGAGTCTGTCATGTTTTGCTATATGGGGTAGTACAGTGATGAAGTGTGAATCGTCACTGGTTTCACGATTCGATTCGATTACAATTATCAAGTCAACGATTATATCAAATTTATTTTGTGCATTTTTATTAAATTATATAAGCAGGCTACTTTTTAAAATAATTACAAATTAATAATAAATCAAAACAATTGTTAAGAACATAACCAAATAAATATAGCTTCAAAACATACATGCAAATATAAAGTAATAAGGCGGGAAAAATACAATTACAAATGATAAACAGAAAATACTTTCGGTATCTGAGAGTGCTTTAAGTATCCGAAAGTTTACAGACAATCATAGTTATGGTTTTTTTCTCCTCGGCATTATTGCTGTTTGGTTATTAGGCCTACTAGAAATCATAGACAGTGGCAGCTAGTGCTGTGTTCGATACATCGATACGACGATGTATCGTCACAGAGATTTGACGATACGAGTATCGATACAGCTGGCCCTGTATCGATATTGTGGCACGTGTGCTGCAGTGGACCGTGCTTAATTTTAATACAAGAACACGATTTAAAACGGAGTAGAAAAGTGCAAGGTTTCTAAAAAAGAATGATTGGAGCATAATATATAGGCTACAACAAGGTTTAATCTGGTCGCAGAGGAACACAACTGGGTTGCCTGATATATAGAGACGTAATCCCCAAAACAGAGCTTCACACTTGTGCAATACGGAAATATCTGCTAAGTGTGCTACTTACCTTTATTAACCTGACAACCCTGTGCACGCACCCTCTCTCCACTGTGGATAAACGCGCTTGCTTTCTGAAAACACTGGCTAGCTTGCAGTTTAGCGATCTCCACTTCAATATTCTATTCTCAGAAAAGTGTAATTCATCAAGTGTTAATTTATTAGACAGAGAGAGAAGCTGTGTATTAGGGCTGTCACGATTATGCAATTTGGCTGACGATTAATTGTCTAAAAATAGTCACGGTTATTGCGATTAATTGTCTGTTTTAGGGCTTTGGCGATTATGAAGATTATCGCGATTAATTGTCTGTTTTTATGGCTCGTGGCCTAATGGTTAGAGAGTCAGAGTCGTAACCCAAAGGTTGAGGAGTCAAGTCTCAGGTCCGGCAGGGATTGTAGATGGGGGGAGTGAATGTACAGCGCTCTCTCCCACCTTCAATACCACGACTGAGGTGCCCTTGAGCAAGGCACTGAACCCCCAACTGCTCCCCGGACGCCGCAGCAAAAATGGCTGCCCACTGCTCCGGGTGTGTGTTCACGGTGTGTGTGTGTTCACTGCTGTGTGTGTGCGCACTTAGGATGGGTTAAATGCAGAGCACTAATTCTGAGTATGGGTAACCATACTTGGCCACATGTCACGTCACTTTCAAATAATTATGATGTTATCTTTTAATCTTTTTGAGTTATTATTTTGCAGTGTAAGATTACATTGAATATTCCAAATTCTAAGAATTGGCCAATCCCGATCCAACACCAGCGCTACTTTTTTTCTACACCCCTACAGGATATCAATACTGTGTTTGTGGAACTAATGGTCAGTCTTTTAAACCCTTTGTTAAACGCAGTCCACTAAATACTCACGTCCTCATTACAGAGAAAAACTACATTTGACAAAAAATATATAAGCTATGAAATTAAACTAGCTGACTGTATAATTTAGCAGTAAAAACAATATCTTGAAAAAAATCTTTGGTGCACATTATACTATTTAAACATGTTTATTCCGTTAACTATTTGTATTCTTACAAAATACATGCATGATTATAAGATCGAAATCATGAGAAAAAGAAAGGCTTCTAATAATCTTTCTGTTTGTGATAATTCCTTCCTTCCTTAAACTTAAAGTATTATAATACTTTAAGCGGTACTTTGATGCCACACGTGACAGTGACATAGCGTCGGCGCCGGTTCAAGTCGGACAAAATTTCTAACCAGCATGCACTGCTTCAAGTCAGCCGCCGATCGGTTTGCACGGTGCCGCATGAAGTCGAACGCACCTAATATGAACGTACTTCGAAATGGCACATTGAAATTACTCAAGCAGTAACAGAGTTACTGTGCATTTCATTACTGAAGACGTCGACCTTAAAATAATATATATAATAAGGTAATATATATACTGTATATATATATATATATTATTTATTTATTTAAAGTCTTTCTAAAGCAGTGGTTCTCAAAGTGTGGGGCGCACGAGTATTGCAGGGGGTGCGCGGGTCATCTGAAGTGATGTGACATGTGGCCAAGTATGGTGACCCATACTTGGAATTAGTGCTCTGCAATTAACCCATCCTAAGTGCACACACACAGCAGTGAACACACACACACCGTGAACACACACCCGGAGCAGTGGGCAGCCATTTATGCTGCGGCGCCCGGGGAGCAGTTGGGGGGCAGCCGCAACAGCTCTACTGTACACTGGACACGACAAAGCGACCGTTGCAAATCATTTTAACTTTGTGTCAGTACGTCATAAATAGAACAAGGCATCAGTTTAATGTCGTGTCGTGTCATGTCGCGTCGTGTCATGTCGCGTCGCGTCGCTTCCAGTGTAGACAGCGTCACTGATTATAATGGGTTCTACTGTATTTTGCCGCTCACGTCCGGTGTAGACACTGTTTAATGTCGTTAGTGAGGAGGAAAGCCTGTGTGTCCTATGCCTTAGCGGACAGCAAGAAACCTACAATAAATAAATAAATAACAGAGAGAATAATAATAATAACAGTTATTCTCTCTAGACTATTTTTCAATGTTTCAAGTGATGCAGGTGTTTTTTCCCTGTAGGTTTTTTAAATTAAAAAAGCATGAATTTTTCATAATGTTTTAGTGAAATTATTTGGCGCGACCAAAAAAGTTTGAGAACCGCTGGTCTAAAGTTAACAGACAGTGTTTAAAAAGTGCAGTCCACATGTTTACATATGTTTATTACAGTGACTGTGAATTACCTAAAGTAGTGTGGTAAAGCAACAGATTTGTTTTTATATTTCTGCAATCTACTTTAGTTTGTGTGATTTGTATATTAATGTTTACACCAGGCTTATTTGTCAGTGCTTTATGTTGCCATAATTATTACATGCTTACAAGGTTGGAAGTTCAACAAATCAGTCAATATACTGTGATTGTAGTTGTTTAATAAAAATGTCATTCATATCAATTCATGCATCACCTAATTTCATCGTAACACAGAAAATAACATTTCTGTTTAATCTATCTAATATTGTGTTGGTCATACTATACAATGATTTTTAGCTTGTCTTTGTTGAATAATACAGAACATAAAGAGCTTTAAAAAATAATCGCATATTCAATCGCAATATTGGTAAAAATAAAATTGCAATTAGATTATTTTCCAAAATCGTTAAGCCCTATTGGAAATCTGAATCAATTTGAACATTTTCTTGCAAAGTGATTATATCATGTTTTGATGACTGTGTTGAATTTCATTTAGACTTTACAAAATAAAATTGTTTGCATCTCAAACATAAATTTATTAAGTAGACTGTAAGTGTATTGTTTTAGTAAATTCAGTAAAACTGCTTTTCCTTTTTTTCTTCAGTGTTGTATTCCGGTGTATTTATAAGCTGAGAAAAGAGGGATCTTCCTCGTTGTGTCGTAGAGGGTTACATACTTTTCCCTCTCCTCATATCGTTGACAGATTTTTTCATAATTACTGTTACCAGGGATAACCAGAGGCGTTTGACGGAAAAAAAAAGTCACCGCATTCACTGAATTTGTCTACAAGTTCAGATGAGACGCATGAAGAAGCCAGAAGCAGCAGCAGGACAGAGACGCTCACGATAAACAGCCTCATCTTCCCTTCAGATGAGAATGTGCTCAGGTCCAGCAACACAGAATGGGTCTCTGCTGGGACTTAAATGCTCCTCTCTAACACACGTAGATCATTCTGCAGCAGGAACAATGTTCTTTAACCCTCATACACCCACACGCTCACACATCTAATTCTGTACACTCATGTAGGTCACACTTTCTGAGAAACTGGATCAGCAGGAATAATTTTGAGTGTGAAATTTTCTTTCACACCGTTTGACCTGTGAAATGGCATCTGGTGTTCTCGTATGTCATCTGGTGCTTTTCATTATTATAGTTCGCTTGAACCATTAAAAAGCATTTTTTGTTAATTTAAATAAACCTGAAATAATATGCATACAGCACTTATCAAAACATTACAGTTTTTAAATGTTTTTAATGAAGTGTCTTCTGCGCACCAAGGCTGCATTTACAGTCTGCTCAAAACTTAAAACAGTAATATTGTGAAAGAGTTCAAATAACCATTTGAATGTATTGTAAAATGTAATTGATTGCTGTGATCAAAGCTGAATTTTCAGCATCATTACTCCAGTCTTCAGTGTCACATGATCCTTCAGAAATCATTCTAATATGCTGATTAATAAAAAGAGACTTCATTAAAATCATTTAAAAATCATAATGTTTCCAAACTTTTGACAAGCACTGTATTAGATGAAAAGCTTATTTCAGTTAGTTGGCAAGGCAACATTTCATATTTTCTGAAAATAAAGTAAATAAAAGCTGTCTCCTCCTAGAGCTTTCAAACTACAACCACCAAACTCAGGCCAGACCTTCAGATGGATATGAATCGGGTTGCTATATCTTTTCTAACAGATCAGATCAGTTTTCATTAAATGGATGATCTAATTTACAAAAAGTTCCATGGACTTTCATTGAGGGTGTAAAATTTTTTGTACAATAAGATTTATAGTGTATAAAGGGTTAGTTTACCCAAAAATGATAATTCTGTTATTAATTACTCACCCTCATGTCGTTCCAAACCCGTAAGACCTTTGTTCATCTTTGGAACACAAATTAAGATATTTTTGATGAAATCCGAGAGCTTTCTGACCCTGCATAGACAGCAAGGGAACTATCAAGTTCAAGGCCCAGAAAGGCAGTAAATACATCTTTAAAATAGTCCAGCAACACTAGCAGTGTGTGTGTGTGTGTGTGTGTGTGTGTGTGTGTGTGTGCGTGTGTGTGTGTGTGTAATATATCAAAACTGTTGTCTCCGAAAGATTTAAGAGTATTTTGGTGGGTTTTGAGATGGAATATGCTTGTGTGGGTCCAGGAATGGAAATGTTTTGGAACCCTGGATTTAGACAGTGAGATGACTCTGATATGACAACATTTGCATAAGCTTTATTAGAAAAAAGACAAACATTTACAGACAGTCCATTTATATATCAGGATCTGGGCTTCAGTACATGCTTATTAAAGTACTGTTTGTGTTCAAATGAAAACGCAAAAAAATGACTTGCATGAGAAAAATGACAGCAATTAAAACCAGGATGAGTTAGGACTCTGGAAAAGCTAAACAAGCATTTTGACAGACCTCCAAATCAAACATCAGAAACGATAATTCAGTGTTTTTTTAACCCATCTGATGCTTTCTGAGACATTTTTAGTTACAGTTCTTAAACAGCTTTACATTTTTCACCCAGTTTTGACTCAGAAATTGCTGTAATTCTTGCAGGCTCTTTTTACTGATCGCTTCATTGTCTTTTTCTTGTTTGTTTAGGGCCCAGTAAGCTTGAGAGACCCACAATCTTTTTCTACTGTTATAGCAGCAGAATGCCGTCCACATGTAAGAGGGAATGTTCACTCTATTGTTTAGTTTGTTTTTGCCAGGTATAGCTCCGGTCAGCACATGGGCTAAAACTTTATTGTTATTGTCATAGCAATGTGTACTCATGCTATCTCTGGTCTCGTTTTCAATGCGATTCCAACTGCCGGCATTAAAGCTGATATTTTGTGGCACAATGTTGGTGAGTGTGAATGTAGATTTGGCCGTGAATTCATCAGCTGCGTGACAGTTGGGAAATAAGTGGCCACAATTCACTCCATAGCGGTTTTCGAAGTAGTCTTCTTCAGTGGCCTGATTTCTATATGGAACAGTCATGCAAACAACACGAGGATCGAGCTGCAGATGTATATTTACAAGAAAGAGAAAGAGTTATTAAACACTAAGAGATTTCTAAAATACCTGACTCAGAAATTAAAGTTCTGTCATTTATTACTCCCCCTGAAGTCATTACAAACCTGTTTGCAGTTATGCTTTAAAGTAAAACATAAAATTAGAATTATTTTCCCATATAGCAGCCTGTTAAAGCTCCTAACAGTAGTCTGACTCAACTCACCAATCAAGTGGTTTTCTCAATGTTTCATTCAGAGTTATTCACTCAAATTCATCATAAGCAGGCGTTTATTAACTGATTTAATGTTGCATAAAAAACCTGCATAATTCATTTTTTGTGTTTTTGGGTTTAGAACAATATGAGGTTGAATAAATAATGAATTTTGTATTTTTTTGGGGTGAACTATTCCTTTAAAACACTAGAAGTTGATAGACTAGAAGCAAAAACAGCACTGAATGGCAAACTTTAACGTAAGACTTGTACAGAAAAAGAAAAGAAAACAGGTGAGGAATGACTCCTAAAACACTTGATGCACAATAACAGCAGACAAATGAGGCATCATAAAAAAAAGCTGTGAAATCACCTGCGGCTCGATCATCCATGGAATCCTTGGTCTTATGAAATCTCCTCTTGCTGTGTATCTGTACGCTGAGAAAACAGGAATCCTGCTTTCTGTGTCGTAGAGAGTTGCATACGTATATCCTGAACCAACACTTGTGAAATTATATCTCTGACAGATTTTTTTGTAGCGAGCATGCTCAGAGTTCGGATTCAGGATGCCAGGAATCACCGGAACCTGTCTTTCAGAGAAAAACTCACTACATGTATTGAATGTTTGCAGAACTTCAGACCTGCTGAATGGACAGCTCAACGCCAGCAGCACAGCGATAAACAGCCGCATGTTCACAGAACTAAAGAACTAGTATAGGAATGTAAACGCAAGTTCCCCAGAAGTCTCGCAGATGAAATGGCCTCTCCTCCTGCGCACTTAAATAGTTCAGCAGCTGAGATGGTGATGTACACAAAGATGCACACACATCCAATCCTGTGAACCCACAAACCTAAAAAATAGAGCTGGAGTGTTAGTTCTCATTCACACATCATCTATTCCACTACAAGCCTGCAACACATTTATACCACATTTGGAGTCATGCTCAGAATTCATCCAAACTGCAGAGTTTCAGTTTGACTTGTCTTTAGTGACCTGTGTGTTTCACAGCTATTGGTACTATATATTGTCTATATAGATAATTTTATACTGTAAGTAAAATAATTTTGCCTGTAGATATAGGTATACCTACATTAGAAGTATGGTTTATTGGTATGCCTATGCAAATAAAATGGGGCAATAATGTTTCAGCTCCTTTAACAATGGTGTTAGACAAGGAGGGATTTTGACCCCAGTTCTTTCTTTATATTGATGATTTGTGTAAATGTTTGAAGGCCTTGGATTATATTTTAGTGAATCATGTTGTGTATGCAGATGTTCTTATGATTTTTAGTCCTTGTAGTGCTGGTCTCTTTAGCACCCTCTCACTATATGTTCTGTGTTTGGACTTAAAGCATGATATTATATATAATGCAAGTAAGAGAGTGTTGTTATGATCTGCAGATCAAAAGAGGATCAGTGTTTAAATTAAATGGTCTGATAATGATCTTAATGAGTGTGAGAAGGTGAAATATCTCGACCTTTTCATTACTGAGCAGCTGACAGATGATGAGGATACTGTAACTGAATGATTTTGAAGATGAAATGAATTAAGAGTAAGTTCTGTGAATATGCGTATGTATGTGTGTGTGTCAAAATAATTTAATTGACATTTAAACATTTTTTTTTATTCATGCATTTCATTGATGTTTTCTTGGGTGACTTCAAGGTGGCGCCGAAGCACATATTAATGAAGGTGATTATTTCTAGATGCAGCTGTGTGCATTAAGGGAAATAACTTTTAAGACAAATGTCAGGTTGTGAGAAGCTCAGGCTCTTCCCCAGATCTAAAGGTCAGTGTGATTCTGTCAGACTGGTCAGTGTTTTGTGTGTGTTTTGCTCCTCATGTGCAAACTGTGTTTCCTTATTTGGTCATTTTCCTGTCCTTGTTTAGTTTAATTATGAGTCTGTTCAACTGTGTTCTATTAATTACCCTTGTATTTAAGTTCCTGCCTGTTCAGTTTCCCTTTTGTCTGGTCTACTTGTTACGTGGATGTGTTTCCTGCTGTCTCCTGTGTTTATGTACCCTGTGTTCCGTGGATTAAAGACTGTTTTGTATATTCCTCGTCTCCACGCTCCTTAGTTCCGGTTATCCTCGTGTGTGTGTCGTGACAGAAGACCAGACCAAGACAGTAAGCGATGTCCCTTCTCCCGTGTTTTTATTTCAGTTTTTTGTCATCTTTGGTTTTCCCTTTTCTTCTCCCCGTGGTATGAGGACCGCCCCGCTGTCAAGCGCGCCGGTGTTTGCTACCGCCCATTAAAACAGATGGTAGCATATTTCCATAGCAAAAAGAGCTACCTATCAGATTTTGCTTCCAGCATGATTATTAATAAGGTGTGAGGCTTTATTAACATGTACACCTACCCAACCCTAAGCCTACACTTACAGTAGGATAAATACAGTGTTGGTAGCATAATCTTAAACGTAGCATTATCTGTCAGAACACCGGCCGCGCCGTTGTCAAGTCTGCTGGCCATGGCTCCCACAAGCCCGCTGGCCGCTCCAGAGTCAAACCCACCAGCTGCTCTGAAGAAAGGCCCGCCGGAGCCCGAGTGGAGCCCCGGTGCTCACTCCAGTGTCGAGTAGCTCCAGTGTCGGCTCCAGCCCTGGAGCTCGCTCCAGTGTCGAGTAGCTCCAGTGTCGGCTCCAGCCCCGGAGCTCGCTCCAGTGTCGAGTAGCTCCCGTGTCGGCCCCCCCCCCGGAGCTCGCCCCCGGGGCGAGACGCTCCCGGGACGGCCCGCGCGCCCGCGCGCCAGCCCCGGAGCTCGCTCCAGTGTCGAGTAGCTCCAGTGTCGGCTCCAGCCCCGGAGCTCGCTCCAGTGTCGAGTAGCTCCAGTGTCGGCTCCAGCCCCGGAGCTCGCTCCAGTGTCGAGTAGCTCCAGTGTCGGCTCCATCCCCGGAGCTCGCTCCAGTGAAGGCTTCATCCCCGGAGCTCACTCCAGTGTCGGCTCCATCCCCGGAGTTCACTCCAGTGAAGGCTCCATCCTCTGAGCTCGCTCCAGTGTCGGCTCCTGCTCCCGAGTAGCCCGCGGAGGGCTCCTGTTCCCCAGTTAAGCCCAGGGAGGGCTCCAGTCCCCTGTCATGGTCCACGGAGGGCCTCGGAACCCGTAAGCGTCCCCAAATTCTTTTTTTGTGATGGGGGTAGAGGCGGGGCCGCGGCCTCAGAGGCTGCTTTTAGAAGATTTTTTATGTTTTTAAAGAAGTCTCTTCTGCTCACCAAGCCTGCATTTATTTGATCCAAAATACAGTAAAAGAAGTAATATTGTGAGATATTTTTACTATTTAAAACAGCTGTTTTCTATTTGAATATCTGTTAAAATATTATTTCTGTGATGCGCAGCTGAATTTTCAGCATCATTACTCCAGTCTTCAGTGTCACATGATCTTCAGAAATCATTCTAATATGCTGATTTGCTGCTCAAGAAACATTTCTGATTATTATTATCAATATTTAAAAGAGTTGAGTACTTTTTTTTTCAGGATTCTTTGATGAATAAAAAGATCCAAAGATCAGCATTGATCTGAAATAAAAAGCTTCGCGGAGGGCTCCTGTTCCCCAGTTAAGCCCAGGGAGGGCTCCAGTCCCCTGTCATGGTCCACGGAGGGCCTCGGAACCCGTAAGCGTCCCCAAATTCTTTTTTTGTGATGGGGGTAGAGGCGGGGCCGCGGCCTCAGAGGCTGCTTTTAGAAGATTTTTTATGTTTTTAAAGAAGTCTCTTCTGCTCACCAAGCCTGCATTTATTTGATCCAAAATACAGTAAAAGAAGTAATATTGTGAGATATTTTTACTATTTAAAACAGCTGTTTTCTATTTGAATATCTGTTAAAATATTATTTCTGTGATGCGCAGCTGAATTTTCAGCATCATTACTCCAGTCTTCAGTGTCACATGATCTTCAGAAATCATTCTAATATGCTGATTTGCTGCTCAAGAAACATTTCTGATTATTATTATCAATATTTAAAAGAGTTGAGTACTTTTTTTTTCAGGATTCTTTGATGAATAAAAAGATCCAAAGATCAGCATTGATCTGAAATAAAAAGCTTTTGTAACATTATACACTATACCATTCAAAAGCTTGGAGTCAATATTTTTACTTATTTTATTTTTTTTGGAAAGAGTTTTATTTAGCAAGGATGCTTTAAATTGATCAAAAGATGATAAAGACATTTGTAATGTTAAAAAAGATTTATATTTCACATCAATGCTGTTCTTCTGAACTTTCTATTCATCAAAGAAACCTGAAAATATTATACTCAGCTGTTTTCAACATAATAATAATAAATGTTTCTCCAGCAGCAAATCATATTAGAATGATTTCTGAAGGATTACGTGACACTGAAGACGGGAGTAATGATGCTGAAAATTCAGCTTTGATCACAGAAATAAATTACATTTCAACAGATATTTACATAGAAAACAGTTACTTGAAATAGTAAAAATAGTTCACAATATTAGCTGTTTTTACTGTTTTTTGGATCAAATAAATGCAGTCTTTGTGAGCAGAAGAGACTTCTTTAAAATAAAAAAAACATTAAAAATCATACTGTTCAAAAACTTTTGACTGGTAGTGTAGTATAGCCAAACTGATTTTCAAATTATATTTCGCCATATTTTCGAAACAATTCATCCGTATTTTTAGCGCCTCATCAGCGCCCTCTGTCGGCCGTGTCGCTGTAACTGCAGGGAGAGTAGCTGAACTGAAAGCTTGCGTGGCTTTGTACCGCTTGTGTTTGTCTATTTCAGGAAGAGCAGAGGAAACTCGAGTCCAGCACACTCTGACATGTGAGGCAGAGCATTGACCCGCGGCAGTCTGAGCTCTGTCGGGCTCTTTCGGGCTTTTAAAGCGCCAGTTCGACTGAATTTCCGCATGAGTTCGAGCGCTGGAAGAGAAAGAAGATGATGCTGCGGATCAGAGAGCAGGTCTGTGCTCACCTGATACACACACCTCACCTGTGCTCACCTGATACACACTCACCTGATACACACACCTCACCTGTGCTCACCTGATACACACACACCTGATACACACACACCTCACCTGTGCTCACCTGATACACACACCTCTGATACACACACCTCACCTGTGCTCACCTGATACACACACCTCTGATACACACACCTCACCTGTGCTCACCTGATACACACACACCTGATACACACACCTCACCTGTGCTCAGATCTCACGAACGCATGGCTTTGAACACATGCGTTACTTTAATGCATCAAATATACATTAAAGCACGAACAGCATGCTACATTTTGTGCACGTTCTGCCAAGGTTCTCTCAAAGTTAGGTACAGACGTTCTTCCAGTAATGTTAATAGAATCAGTTTGTTCAAAGTTAAGATGTCTGGTCTTTAATAACGTCCTCAGAGCATTAATGTTCCCATAATGTTTGCAAAATGTTTGCTTATTTTAAGTGTTTATTTTGCCATTTACTGAGCATTTATTTATTTATGTGCTTTATCATAAGGACACTTAGTAAAAGTATTTGTGTATGTAAGTGTGTGTGTGTGTGTGTATATTTAGATAGATAGATGTATACATTTCAACATTTTAGCTTTCATTTTTTATGAATGTACTGCATACGAAAAAAGCATTTATATTTTGTGACTGGTTGCCATTTCATGATTAAAAAAATAATTTTTAATGTTTAAGGGTCATTTATTTATTTAGATTTCCCTTTTAATGCATTTCAGAAGAAAAGAGTCACTTTTAATGTTTGGCATTTTAAAGCCAAGCTGTTCTGCATCTGATTGACAGATTCGGGGGTGTTCTTATCATTAAATAAGCTCTGCTTTGAAAAACATGAAGAATTTATGATTGACGTGTATATAGGAAGTTTAACAGTAGTCTTATTTAATGGAGCAGCATCCCTCATGTGATGCAACTAAACCTGCATTTAGAAAACACTTTTCCACTTTCTCTGTTTTAGGCTGTTAGTTTTGGTTGAGAGGAGAAGATCGAGACCAAACAAAAGCATTAATGTGAAACCATGAGAAGTCTTTGTCTTTTATTTAAAACTGAATGACATTTGATTGATTTGTGAGATTCTGGAGCCGTATCTGAATAACATGAGGCCGATGTTAGACGGTCTGTGGAGGGCAGAAGTGGCTTTCAGTTACAGCAGCCGCAGTCTTTCTTTGAATGCTGGTTGAAAAGCGGACAAGGAAAGAATGAGGACTGAAATAGCAGCTGGAGACCTGCTGACAGAATGAAATGGGCTTGAACTTAACTGGATTACATTGGTCTAGCTGGTTCGCAGTGCCCAAAACCATGATAAAACCATCAAACCAGATCAGCTAGATCAGTGTAAACCAGCACAGCTAAAACAAACAAACCAGTGTTTGTGCCCAGCAGACAATGAAGACAGTTTACTCTGAAGTTACACCAGAGCTGAAGCCTCTTCTCGTGTGGTTGTGTTACTTTTGTCCTCTAGAGGGAGTTTGACTTCATCAGATCCCTTTAATACAACTTTTAAACAAGATCCTGCGTGTTTATTCACTTTTCAAGTCTTCTTAGTAGTTATTAATAATGACAATTTAGCTCTGATTAATGCAAGGCAAGTTTTTGTATATATATATTTATTTATTTGATGTAATTTTATATTTATGTATGCTTAATAGGTTATATTTGATATATTAAATATGACAAATATATATTAAATATAACCAAACATATGTCATGTTACATTTAATTACATATTCAGTATAATTTTTGTTATATTTAATATATATTTGTCATTAGATATATTTGGTTATATTTAATATGTATTAATGTCATTAATTGTCATTTTTTAATATTTGATATATTTTTGGCTATATTTAGTACACATATTTGTCATATTTGATATATTTTTGTTGTTTTTAAGGAGGTCATTGAAGGTCACACTTAGAGCCGCACATTATATCGTCTGATACTGAACAAGAAAATATTAGGGAATATTTTCTTAAATTCAATCAGTAAAGTCTGTCTATGGCAGATTACAAAAGCATGAAATGTCTACTGTGCATTAAATTGTTTTGCTGCCTGATCTCGCTTGATTCAGGTTCAATTCTGCACTGGATCTCAGTATGAACAGTGATTTTTCACACTAGATTCATAATATCATCAGCTGTCAAGTGTCTGTAATGATGTTTCTGTGCTTCTGCTGTGTCTGGCAGGCATTTTGTGACGGCCTGTTTTCACTGGTCACGTTATTGAATAGATGAGCTTGTTATTGACTTCACGGGGGGCAGGGGGCGGAGCTTAGAGGTGTGTCCAGTGCTGTTTCCAGACACACACTGTACCATCTCCAATGCAGATACTGTTGAGTACAGAACACTACATACTAAACCCACATTGTGACACTACTGACAATGCACATGGCTTGTGTTCAAATATTTATATTTTGGGTAAATACTATAGTGAATAAATGCAGCCATTTAAATTCAAATGTTAAGTTTTATGTGTACTCTACTGTTCAGAAATTTGGGGTTGGTAATTTTTTATTTTTTTTAAATGTTTTTTTTAAAGTCGTTTGTGCTCACAAAGAATACATAAAATACAGTAAAAACAGTCATTTTGAATATTTTTCCAGTCAGTAACCATTACAGAGTTTCACTTTGATATTGAAGCTGCTTTTATGGCAGATTGTTTTCACTGGTCACGTTATTGAATAGATGAGCTTGTTATTGACTTCACGGGGGGCAGGGGGCGGAGCTTAGAGGTGTGTCCAGTGCTGTTTCCAGACACACACTGTACCATCTCCAATGCAGATACTGTTGAGTACAGAACACTACATACTAAACCCACATTGTGACACTACTGACAATGCACATGGCTTGTGTTCAAATATTTATATTTTGGGTAAATACTATAGTGAATAAATGCAGCCATTTAAATTCAAATGTTAAGTTTTATGTGTACTCTACTGTTCAGAAATTTGGGGTTGGTAATTTTTTATTTTTTTTAATGTTTTTTTTAAGTCGTTTGTGCTCACAAAGAATACATAAAATACAGTAAAAACAGTCATTTTTAATATTTTTCCAGTCAGTAACCATTACAGAGTTTCACTTTGATATTGAAGCTGCTTTTATGGCAGATTTTACAGTTAAATATCATCTGAAACGTTGGGAAAGTCATTTTGTTGCCAGGAACATCAGTCTTGTCGTAACATGCTCAGAAGTGCCAGTTAGATATTCTGGATACTTGTGGTGCAAAACTATCTGATAAATCTCATTAGTTCAAATCATTTCTTCTTTTTTTTTTTTTTGCTTTGTCTGAATAAAAGTGTGTATGAAAAGCCACTGATTTGTTGCTAGGGTGTTGCTATGCATTTGCTAGTGTTCAGTCCAGCAGGATTTGTTTCTGAGATTTAGGTCAGATTTTTCTGAGCTATAAATAGTGGTTTCTTTGTGTTTTTGTTGACTATGTGGTTCTTTCACATCAGAAATCACATCAATTCTGTGATGTGTGACTGTTGAAGTGCTGATCTGTGTGTGTGTGTGTGTGTGTGTGTGTGTGTGTGTTCCTCTGGCCTGGGGAAACATCAACCTCTTCGACTATAAAGACACGCTGGTGAGCGGGAAAGTGGCTCTGGGTTTGTGGCCGGTTCCTCATGGTCTGGAGGATCTGCTCAACCCCATCGGAGTGTCCGGATCCAACCCAAACAAGGTGTGTGAGCCATGATTATTATTGCTAACGGAAACTCATAAAACAATTCTGCGTGTGGATGTGCTGGTCTGTGTGTGTGTGTGTGTGTGTGTGTGTGTGTGTGTGTGTGTGTGTGTGTGTGTGTGTGTCCATTAGCGAGTGTATCAGGCAGTCAGCAGTTTGTTGTGGTGAGCTGGAGCGAGAGGAGGAGGAAGAGCTGATGAAGACGAGCCAACGAGAATGAGTCACACAGATCAGACATTATCTAACAGAGACTGGAGACAAACACACACACACTTACTCACATTTACCAGTGTACTGTATATAAATCAGAAGGTATCAGAGACTTCAGTGTGAATGTCAGTAAAACCTGTCCACGTCAAATTTCAAACATTTAAAAAAATAAAAATAAATAAATAACAGCAAGAAAGACTGTTTTAATCTATTTGATCTGTTTTACTTTAAAAGGTACTTGTAATGCAACGATTTAATGATAATTTATTAAATAAATTCAGTATGAATTATATTCAGTACAACAGATACTACCATGATTTAGAATTACTTTAAAATGTATTTTTAAATAAATAATTTCCAATTACAAATACAATATATTTTATGTAAACGTGCTTCACTGGCATGAAAATGTAACAAAATAAATAATAATTAATTAAAATAAAAATCATAAAAAAAAATGTCCATATGTAGCTTAAATTCTTAAATTAATAAATAAATTAAAATGTTTTGCAAAGTCTAGTTAGACATTGTTTTTTTATGCAATTAATCTCATTTTCCAGTCAAATTCTTCTTATTATAATGCATTTGCATGTTTTACTTGAGCATATTGAAAATGCATTTAATGATATTGTAATTATATTTATTTAATGATAAATTAAAATCAGCATGAATTCAATTCAGTACAACAAATACCACCATGATGTATACTTACTTTAAAAAGTATATTATATATAAACGTTTTCCAATTATAATATAAATTGTGAATTGGATGTAAATCCAATGTGCTTAAATGAGTCCTGAAAATGTCCAAATATATATACTGTATATATATATATATGTATGTGTATATATATATATATAAACAATCTTCATTTACCATGCAGAATTATTTAATTATTTCTCTTTTGATTTTGAGGTGAAATATGACCTCCGTGTTCTTGAGATTCACCCAAAAAATCTGTTACCCTACAGCTTCTGCTTGTTTATAATAACTGCAAATCTTTTAAAAAAAATCACAATTGACTATATTTTGTACATTACTATATTGTGCTTCACTATATTTTGTATTTTGTACAAGCTTTTCTCAGATTGAACTAACTTCTGGGAACAATTTTGTCCCTATAGTAAAAACAAACAGTGACCTTGTTCGTAGTCCTGACAAAGAATAATATGATCTGTTCCTGCCTGTGTTTGTCCCATCAGCTCTGTCTCTGTGCTTCATATTTCACTGGTGTTAAAGGCTCATGCTGTCGGAAGCTCGCTGTCTCATTACAAAACACCCCTCACTCTCGGTATGTGTTTGCAGTACACAAGCCACGGTTAAGACAGCTGACTCCTCTGTGATGTGACCCTCTCTCTCTCTCTCTCTCTCTCTCGCTCTCTCTCTCTCTCTTGCTCTCTCTCTGCAGTAGGGTTGGTGTGTTGTTGCAGTGGGGGTTGGATCTGTGTGTATGTGTGTAAAGTGCAGGTTTCAGCAGGCTGGAGCTCACACACCATTGTCCTCTCAGATCACACAGAGAGAGAGTGTGTGTGTGTGTGTGTGTGAGAGTGTGTGTGTGTGTATGAGGACGCTGCATCTTCTCACTGCAGCACTGCTGATGTTCCCACTCTGAGGAATTCACTGTTCCAGGATTGTGTGCATTTGGAGGGATTTAACGCTCGGATACTAATGGCACCGGAGCTGAATGTCATGGACGGATCAGCCATACAGAATAACGCTTGGTGTTTTTTGTGAAAGCAGCTCTCGTGTGTGTGTGTGTGTGTGTGTGTTGGAGAAGCAGGCATGCGGTCGGAGCGCATGAGTCGTGTGTGTATCGTGGTCCTGGAGGAGGTGGAAGACGACGATCCCTCCCCTCTGCATTCCAAAGCCACCCCGGACCACATTTCCCAGAATTCCTCTCAGGACGAGAAGGTGAGGGGGCTGATTTGACTGCAGGTGAATGATAATGGGGTGTCTGTTGCGTGTGAAGCAGCGGTGAACTTCAAAAGAGAGCCAGAAGAAAGTCAAACGGTTGCTTTAGTCCCTGTTATTATCTGAAGACAGATACAGACACGTTCATCCGTCTCTGTCAGATCTGATTGGGGTTTCCAGGTGAGGTCCAAAAATTCCCCTTGGAAACCCTGGATCATGTGACTAGGAGTGAGTTGTGGACCTTGGACCTGGATGGAAATGCAGCTGTCAGACGCAAATGTCAGCATGCATTAGGACACGCTTCACACGCAGCGCACGTCCATTCTTGCTTTGAAAATACACTGGCTTTTATAAAAAATATAACATTTTTTTTTTTTACTTGACATGGTGTGAGATGCATCGCAGAGGCCAAAGATGTCCATCAACAACTGCAAAATATAATCCAAGAATGTATTCTGTGTGAACAGACCATTAGGCCAGAAACGCACTTTATACAAGTACAAATGCAGACATAAACAAACCTCATGTACTCTTTACTATTTGTTTGATTAATATGAAAATATTTTTAATGAAGTGTGATAACATTTTAAAGCCTCTTGTAAATAGTTTTTGTTGTCTGTTTTTTCTAATATTTTATTTATTTTTTAAATCAAAGATAAATTGTAAAACCATTTTGTAAATTGTTTTTGTTGAATTTTATCTAAACTTTTATTTGTTTACTGGATCATGTGACTAGGAGTGAGTTGTGGACCTTGGACCTGGATGGAAATGCAGCTGTCAGACGCAAATGTCAGCATGCATTAGGACACGCTTCACACGCAGCGCACGTCCATTCTTGCTTTGAAAATACACTGGCTTTTATAAAAAATATAACATTTTTTTTTTTTACTTGACATGGTGTGAGATGCATCGCAGAGGCCAAAGATGTCCATCAACAACTGCAAAATATAATCCAAGAATGTATTCTGTGTGAACAGACCATTAGGCCAGAAACGCACTTTATACAAGTACAAATGCAGACATAAACAAACCTCATGTACTCTTTACTATTTGTTTGATTAATATGAAAAGATTTTTAATGAAGTGTGATAACATTTTAAAGCCTCTTGTAAATAGTTTTTGTTGTCTGTTTTTTCTAATATTTTATTTATTTTTTAAATCAAAGATAAATTGTAAAACCATTTTGTAAATAGTTTTTGTTGAATTTTATCTAAACTTTTATTTGTTTGTGTTTTTTATTTTATTTTTTCAAAGATACATTTTAAAAACCTTTTGTAAATGTTTATTTCTTATTGAATTTTATCCCATATTCATTCATTCATTCATTCATAATTTTGCAGTTTTCATTCTAGTTTTTTCTTAAATTTTTTTGTAAATTCTTTGTTGAATTTTATGTAATTATTTTAGATTTTTTTATTTTTTTAGTTCATTAAATAGTTATATTTAATATTTATTTAATAAATGTATTTATTTATTTTAGAGATGCTTTATCAAAGAAACTATTATTATTTTTTTCTAATAATTTATGTATTTTAGATTTAATTTTATCAAAGCTAAACTTGATCTATCTATCTATCTATCTATATATCTATCTATCTATCTATCTATCTATCTATCTATCTATCTATCTATCTATCTATCTATCTATCTATCTATCTATCTATCTCTAAATTTTAGCCTGTTGTACAGTTACCTTCATATGTCTGAGCCATTATTCAGGGAGTTAAAACATATATGTTGTCGTTCCGTCTTGACTGCAGTTGACCTACAAAAGAAAAAGAGGAACAGATTTTTATGCTATTGCTCATAGCAGTGTTGAGAATACTATATGTTTTTGTGTTGCATTGTGAATTGTTCTCACACATTTCAAACTAAGTGTTGGTGCTCTTGATCAGTGAGAACAGCAGGCGTTTGAATGGAAACTGTAGACAAATTAGCAGGATAATCATCAGTTTAGTGGATGAACCGGATGGGCAGGTTTCAGTTCTGTGGATTTTGCCAGCTGTTTTTCTTCTTTAATAGTTAAAAGCATTCTTTGAAGATCAGTCTAAGTGCTTCTGACTGGTTTCAGTCAGTTTTCAGGAGCTTCAGGCTAACGTTTTTGCTGTTATAACAGGCCACATTTCCTTAAACAGAGGAAAGCTGCATGCTTTCTTTTACGACGTTTCTCCTGTCTTTCGTTCTCACGTCTGCTTTCAGCTGCTGCATCATGTGTTTGTGAGGTGAATCCACATAAAGACTGCAGCAGGTGTGTGTGTGTGTGTGTGTGTGTGTGTGTGTTTATGAGTACATTCAGTAATTGTCAGCTCCTCTCTACTCTCTTCCCTCTCAGATAAAAAGGTACAAAAGCTATCACTGGGGCAGTACCCTTTCAAAAGGCTCTAATTTGTATACTTTAGGTACAAATCTGTACCTTTTAGTTCTGAAATGCACCTTTTAGTGGTAAATGATTTGACTTGAAGCATGTACAAATAGTTTTTATCCAAGAGCAGTAGCTCCTCTATTTTATTGTACTTTTTATTGTACTTGATTATTGATTTTAATGATATGCTGCAGACTGGATTGTGCCACTGAGAATTTAATTGGAACTCTATTACAATGACAATAAAGTTAAGTAAATAAGGTCTAAAAATGTACATTTTTAAAAAGCTTTTGAACCTGTTTTTTTCTGAGAGAGATGCATAAGTTGCGCTTTCAATCATTTCCTGTATTGACACCTGAGTGGAGGGCGTGGCCAGTGGGCGGAGCCGGACAGGGCGGGGCTTTAGTGTAGCCTGTCCTTATTTGGAATAACCTTGAATAAGATATTTAATGCATGTTCTTATTGGGTTTAAGTATTAATTATATACTATTATATAGGTTTGATTAATACCTTGTTAGCTTTTATTTTTATATTTTCACTTAATTTTCTTTTAAATATTTTTTATTTTTATTTTAGCTATAGTTCAGTTTAAGTTTTTATTTATTTCCAGTTAATAATTTTAGCTCTTTAACTTCAACTTATTTCAGTTAACTGCAAAGGCAACAATTCAATTTTTTTTTTTGTTTAAGTTTTTGAGAACATTTTTATGTTTTATTTCAGATTAATTTCAACTGGCAATAACGTTTGAATAGTTTTAGATTCTGTTTTAGTTAACGATAATAACCCTGCTTCAACGGATTCACAGCTTGTAAGCTATCAACACATGACAAAATATTGTCACATATTGCAGTTATGCATGATATACCAGTATCAGCCAATATCAGCGTTTAGTTAAATTAATACAGAGCAGATAATGCGCAGTGTCCTTTCATTCATTTGTTTGTTTCCTACAGTATTTTTTTCTATGGCAGGTTTTTGGGTATTTTTTTAAATGCATCTTTTTTATGACATATTGAATAGGATTCATGTACAATTCTAGATTCTTATAGAGTGGGAAATTTTTTTTAATATTAATTATTTTACAAATTTATAATAAAAAAACATATCTATATATCTCAACATATTAACCCATCCCTAATAGGAGAAATACAGAATTAATTAAATAAATAAATACATAAACAAATAATCATTTGCATTTACAATCTAGAATTTATACTTGCTTTGAATGCATAACTTCATCACTCATCATTCTCATTATCAGTGACAGTGTAAACATAATTATTAATCAATATATTCCTTTGATCTGGTTGGAAATCTTCAGTTGCTCAGTAAAAACGGTTAATTTGATTCAGTCCCTATTTTGTTTAAAGTAACTGAGTGCAGACAGTTTCACTCCTACGAGTCTCATCTCTCCTTATTCTCACAAATGTTGTTAGAACCGATTTCATACACTATTAAATACTTTTATTTCATGCTGCACTTCAATGAGTTTCTCTTTGGCGTGCTGATGAATCAACGGTTTCTTGTTTTCGTCTGTCTATAATAAACCGCTTGACGTCTGATTCTCAGAATGTCGCTTAAACACAGTTTCATTCATTTAGGTTATTTTCATCTTCACATTCATCTTCAGCGTTTAACACAGCCTGTTGTTCAAGACGAGCTTGTCATAATTTAAGTTTTGATTGATATCAGACGTGCTGGTTTGTCTTTCTGAGTTAAAGAAGATCTTCAGTATTGTTTTTAAGCATCTCTTTCATTTCTCCACAGCCCTCTCTGATTAAAGCCATATTTAACGGCGACGCAGATGAAGTTCGCTCTCTCATATTCAAGAAAGAAGACGTCAATGTACAGGTGAATGTCCATAACTTGCAAAAACACAAACTATCCTTTGAAATTCTCTGAAAGTGGTCATTTTTCAGTTTTTATTGCGTCTGGCTGGGTTTTGAGACCAGATGATTGATTTCTCACTGATGGATGATCTTGGAAGCCCTTCTGAAATGGACTCAGTGGCAGTTCTTGTACATTATTTCTCTTAGTTTCATAATGGATCTTCATCCGAGAGGTTAATAGGCTGTCATGAGCCCGCATTTGGACTGAAGAGAGTTTATTTTACTGCTCACTGTTTACTGAGGAGGCTGTTTTCATTGCCAATGCCTGGAGAGACTCCCGTTCCACTGCCAGCAAATCACTGATGGCCTGTCGGGTCACGTGACTCTGTGTGGCTTGGCCTCCTGGTTTCCATTCTCATTCCAGACCAGATGGAAGACAGAAGCCTGCAGGGTGGCATGACACTGAAGAATGAATGATAGCCACTCTTTCGTAATTGCCTTTATTGATAAAAATGTCGATCTGGAAGCACGGTTAAAGCTACAGTATAGGTGATCGCAGAAGATCCTGGGAACCTCAATAGAGAAACGTACGTGACGTGTGTCTCGTGTTTCTGCATGCCGTCTCTAGAGATGTGCGGCCGCATTGATCTCACACACGCTTACAAATGCATCACTGTGTGCCATGCGCAAGAATCCAGTGTGTGCATCATATAACACACACCCTGCTGAAACCGCACATGCATCAAACACTTCCAAATGGAGTAAAACTCATGCAAATCAGAGGTGAATCGCAAAAAAACACCAGCTTCACTCTGTTTTGAGCAGAAATGAGATTAGATGCAGTATTTGATTGGTTGATGTGTTTGGCTGATGATACATGGGGCAAGTTTTTGAGCAATGTTGCTTGGGCACTTTCCCATTGAGAATGGGTAACACATTTCTATCTGGATACTTTAGATCGGTCGTGGGCCCTGAGTCTCACCTGGTTGCTCAAAATGTTGCCCTGTGTATCATCAGCCTCTTGCGCCAATCAGCAATAGATTTGTTTAAAGAAATTAATACTTTTATTAAGCAAGGATGCATTCAATTGATCAAAAGTGACAGTAAAGACATTTATTATGTTGCAGAAGATTTCTATTATAAATAAATGCTGTTCTTTTGAACTTTTTATTCATCAAGGAATCCTGGTTTCCTCAAAAGTATTTGGCAGCACAACTGTTTTCAACATTGATAACAATCAGATGATTTCTGAAGATCATGTGACACTGAAGACTGGAGTTATGATGCTGAAAATTCAGCTGCGCATCACAGGAATAAATAACATTTTAAGTAGAAGATGGTTATTTTGAATTATAATAATATTTCATAATTGTATTTTTGATCAAATAAATGCAGCCTAGGTGAGCTAAAGACTTCTTTCAAAAACATTTGAACGCCCCTAAACTTTTAAAAAGCCATTGTGTTTGCTGAAATAGTGAAAATAACTAGTTTTAAACATGATTTGTCATTAATTGTTGCATGTTTGTGAATCCTCAGGACTGTGAGAAGAGAACGCCGCTTCACGCTGCTGCTTACCTGGGCGACGCTGAGATCATAGAGCTGCTCGTCCTGTCAGGTATGAAGGGTCATTTACACCCAAAACACTCCAGCGTGGTGACTGAAATATCAGACAGATTTATTAATAGATCTAAATTATGATGTAATCTGGGTTGGTGGATAAATCTACACTACCATTCAAAAGTTTGGAGTCGGTAAGATTTTTGGAATGTTTTTTAAAGAAGTCAATTCTGCTCACCAAGGCTGCATTTATTTGATACAGTAATATTATGAAATATTATTACTATTTAGAATAGCTGTTTTCCGTGTGAATATATTGTAAAATGTAATTTATTCCTGTGATGCGCAGCTGTATTGTCAGCATCATAACTCCAGTCTTCAGTGTCACATGATCTTCAGAAATCATTCTAATATGCTGATTTGCTGCTCAACAAACATTTCTGATTATTATCAATGTTTGAAAACAGTTGTGCTGCTTCATATTTCTATGGAAACTGTGATACATTTTATTTTTCAGGATTTTTGATGAATAGAAAGTTCAAAAGCACAGCATCTTTAGTAACATTATAAATGTCTTTACTGTCACTTTTGACCAATTTAATGCATCCTTGCTGAATAAAAGTAGTAATTTCTTAAAAACAAATGATACTGACCCCAAACTTTTGAACGATAATGCACAGCACTGAAACATCTATTTATTGTGTTTTCATCTAAACAAAATAGATCAATAATGTAAATGCAGTGGTTTCTAATCCATTTAAATGATTGATATATTTTGTTACATAGCAACACCCTAGCAACCACTAACAACAACACTGACATTGTGTATATAAAATATGTAACAGAAGTGAGTTATATTGCAAATGATCTTTGAAAACTCATATTTGTTGAGCACTACACCAGTGACACTGACAAAAGGCACACACATGTGACGTCCTGAAAGGGCCGTATGTACGTGTGTAAAGGAGGAGTTGTTGTCATTTATGACCGAGGAAAAGTAACAGGTGCTGCTGTATTTTAAGCCACAGATGTGATTACAGAGAGTTTTGGGGGGTTATTTTGAACTGGCTTACAGGAAGCTCCACAGATCCTGCTTCAGCTGTGACATTATAAGTGCAATTCATTCATGCATACCCTTCTCTCTCTCTCTCTCTCTATCTCTCTCTCTCAGGGGCGAGAGTGAATGCCAAAGATAATAAATGGCTCACTCCTCTTCATCGGGCCGTAGCATCCTGTAGTGAGGTACGACACATCCTCCAGCATCGGAAAAACAAATATAAACAAATGAAATGGCTTTCAAGCTCATTAATGTGATTGTGTGTTCAGGAAGCAGTCCAGGTGCTGTTGAAACACTCGGCGGATGTGAATGCACGGGATAAGAACTGGCAGACGCCGCTGCACGTGGCCGCGTCCCATAAAGCCGTGCGCTGCGCCGAGGCGTTAGTCCCGTTGTTAAGCAACGTCAACGTGTCAGACCGCGCCGGACGTACGGCTCTACACCACGCGGCCTTCAGCGGACACTTGGAGGTCAGACCCTCAGTTTTCCACTGTCTACAGATCAGCAGATGCACAATATCTGCCCGTCCAAAATGTGACACGTTTGCACAGTATCCTGTTTGTCATAGAGTTTATGAGACCTGTTTACGCCAGGAATGAAATGAAAAGCAAAATAAATGGCAGATAAAAGACCCGTTCACACCTAGAGCTAAATGAGAAACTCTGGTTGTGCTTTAATGCAAAATACAGAAAGCTATGTGATTATAAATTTCATTCACATTAATAGTCATAGGGCCAGATTTACTAAACAGGGCAAATTACCGCAAGAGTGCAATTCCAAAAAAGTGCTAATGGGAGTGGAAATTTCTGCGAGTGAGTTACTGACAGTGCACAAGTTAAAGAACAAAAATGATTGTGATTTTAACAGTAAAAGACTGTAAAAATGCTACAGTAAAAACCTGTTAACTGGTTAACAGTAAGTTTCCATACTATATTCGGTGAATAAATGTAATTACATTTAATGTGATTTTACAGTAAAATACTGTTAAAAATTCGATTTTTGGAAGTGAAAAAGAAAAAGTCATTGTATAATTAACAGTGAAAAACCATAAATTGGCACTCCCAGAATTCCCTGCATGACACTTCATATTTGATGTTTTTTTGTTGAATTAACATGTTTCTTCTTAGTTTTTTCTTATCAGTTGTGTACATTAGGGTTTAATCTTACATCTAATGTTGTTAAATTAATGTTTATTGCATTATTTCAATATCATGTGTGTCACCATGATTGGGTTTAGTGTTTGTGAATGACACTGTGCACCTTCTATA